CGAGTTGAAAGCGACTCGTGCTGTTGGTGAATTGTACGTTTTTGCTGCATTACGTTGCATGCTCGAACGTTATATTACGTGCGAGTAATTCGCCGGCCGTGTCCACGCAAGAGAACGCAAATAACTCGGCATATGAGTTTATTCGAAATAATAAATTTATATTTGCAAACCAGATTTAAAAAAACCGATAGAAGGTTTCTATGCGCTTCGCAGTTTTTACCGCATCGTACATAATCCCGTTATAATTGCGCGCCGAGGATTTCTATTAGCAGTTAGATGCGCTGTAAATGTTGAAGCCTTCGTGTCCGGTTATCGTGATTTCCACATTCATGCGGGAATTGATTCGTCGACGCGTGAATTGCGGCAAGCAACGGCGCTTCTAGCGCATGTCGTCCGCTTGTAATCACCTTGTTCGTGCGTGCGTGCGTGCGTGCGTGCGTTCGTTTGTTCGTGCGCTTTTCCGTCCGATCGTTCATTTGCTCAATCGTTTGTTCGTTTGCGCGGTGACATCGGCCGCATGTTTCCGTATTTTTGACGTTCTGTTATTTTTACTGCTGATTTAATGATGTCACTGTAACGATGGGTAACGTTGAGAAATTGCACGATATGTGCGTGGCTCTACTGCGTCTACCTGCGCACTTACCTGTCCACCTGTACAACTGTACCCATGTGCTTATGCAGGTGTGTATATGTATATATATATATATATATATATATATATATATGTGTGTGTGTGTGTGTGTAATATGTACGTTTAGCGGCGCGGCGCGGGCGCGCAGGCGTGTTTGTGTAATGCCTTTCAGCGACTGTTTAGTACGTCGGTTGTTTCGGCGTGTAAATTTATATGCTGTCATCTATGACGTGAGAATGGCCAGGTTCGGGCTGCCGTGTTTGCGCACAGCGCAGCTGCTCGCCTAGGAAAACACGCACGGCCGTCGGCGATTAATAAATAAAAACGGCACATTAGATAGGGATGCCCAACTGATAGGATAAATCAGTAATGTTAATAAATTAGTGTGGGTCAACACTCTATCACCCGCGGCCGAAGAACAAGGCACTAGAGCCCAGAAACTCCTGGGAGAGAGAGAGAGAAGAGAGAGACTGAGAGAGAGAGAGGAGAGAGAGAGAGAGAGGAGCCCGCCAGAGAGAGAGAGCGAGGGGTAGCGGAAGATACGGAGAGAAGAGGAAGAGAGAGAAGGGCGGGATGAGTGAGTGGGCTGGATGGATGGATGGATGGATGAGAGCGATGATGAATGGATGAGTGAGGGATGAAGGCTGGAGGATGGATGGAGGGATGGATGGATGATGATGGAGATGGAGGTCGATGAAGGAATGAGTGATGGTTGTGATGGATGGCATTGTGTATGGATGTGGCATGGATGTGATTGATGGCAATGATGATGAGACTGGTGAGAATGTGAAGTTGATGGGCAGTATAAGGCGGGATGGAGTGGATGGAAGGGAGTGAGATGAAGGAATGATGGATGGGATGCGAGTGGGTTGGTGGTGTTTTGGGCGGATGGATGTTAGCGTTGATGGAATAAGCATAAGATAAGAACAGATAGAAGAAGTTGCATATAAATATAATACTATATATATATAATACATAGTATATGTTATGTAAGAGAGAGAGAGAGAGAGAGAATAGATAGACGGACACGATAGATACATGGCATGGACTGGATGAACGACGACGACGGCACGTACGACGGACGACGGATGATGACTAGAAAGAGGTAGCGAGAGAGAGAGAGGGAGAAGAGATTGCGAGAGAGAGAGAGAGAGAGAGAGAGAGAGAGAGACCGCGGCGGATAAAATTAGTAGGAAGTACTAGATATAAAATCGCGCTATATCTATCGCGCTAACTATCGCACTTCGCCCTGCCCTCCCGCAGCCGGTTATTAGGCAAGGACAATACCATGTCATTCTCCACGGCTGATTTAGCAACTGCAGACGAGAGGCTTGCATGAGCTCATCCACGACGCTGTACCATGGTGTTTTTTAAGATTCAGTGATGCGAAGACGCAAATCCATTAAGCCCAGCTGCATTCAATACACGGCGGGTGATCGGTGCAGCGGCAGCGGCAGCGCAGGAATCTGCACGCAGATCAAAAACTCGCAGTAAATTTGAAGTCACGTCACACAGCGCGCGACAGATTTGCTCATCGCCGACAGAAAAGGGTCGGCGGCTTCAAAGCGCACCGCCTCGCGCACAATCACCGCAGCGCTTTCCGTGTCACTGACCATCGATGGACGCGGGAGTTTTTTCTGCGGCCCTGTGTGACCCGCTGGTTGTGAAACTGTGAGCCCGCTACCGCCTTCGCCCCCCCCCCCCGGCTGGCTGCCGTCACAGATGCGATCACCTTGTTCAGCAGACATGCAGTCAGACGTGCATGCAGTTACGGCAAGTGAGGTCAGCGTGTATGAGGAGTGCTGGAGGAGATGTGATGATGCTGGGAGAGAGATCCTGTGGCTGGTCGATGTATGGTGGTGGTGCGAGAGGGAATATTGCTGGAAGAGGGATGGCGATGCTAGAAGTGAGATTATAATTATGGAAGAGGGAGGTGGTGATGCTGGGAGAGGGATAGTGATGCTGGGAGAGGGATGGTGATACTGGGAGAGGGATGGTGATGCTGGGAGAGGGATGGTGATGCTGGGAGAGGGATGGAGATGCTGGGAGAGGGATGGTGATGCTGGGAGAGGGATGGTGATGCTGGGAGAGGGATGGTGATACTGGGAGAGCTGGAGTGATGATGCGGAAAGTTAGCCATGGTGGCCTTCATATGCAATCTCACGTCATCCAACCGGAATCAATTTTCAGTGTGGAGTTTCGCGAGTTCCTGAGGCCCGGATTTCGCGTTTATGGCGATTTCGGGAAGAGACGACGATGATGTCTTTTTTGCCGTGGTTGTTGAGCTTGTTCTGTTTCGTGATGGTGTGTAAGGGCTTTTGTGTAGTGAAGCCATGTATGCGGGATGCAGATATCAGCTGCCGTGCACGTTTCATGTTATTGCTGAAATTATTTCTCTTGTGAACGAGCACGTGTCTAGCCAATGATGGCGATACGCATAACTCATTGAAATTCGTCGTCGATACGGAGAGAGAGAGCGCGCGCGAGAGAGAGTGTGTGTCGTAGCCTGTCTCTCTAGATCTCGTGTGGCTGTCTAAGTGAAGCCATGTGCAGCTGTCTGATTTTACGCATATAGGTGGTTGCCGTAGATGTTGGTTTGCGTGAGTGAGTGAGTTCGTATAGTGGAGTGGCTGTGGCGGAATCGTGTTAGTATGTATAATTACGCACGAAACGCATGCATCGCAATGTAAACGCTATTACAAAGGAGTGGTTCGAAGCGCCCACTGTCATATTCAGCGCATGCATTATTTGTTTGGTTATTGAATTATTACGTTGCGGGAGGAGCCGGTGTTCGTGTGGCACCGTGAGATCGATACTGGTGTTTTTAAAACGCGTACACACGTTAATGGCGTCGCGCGGGGCATACTGAATACAGGTCACATACACCACGCTGAACCACGTTTCCCCTTAAGCTCACTTGTTCTCTGCCGGAGTAGCAGCAGCACGTTAGAAGCCCTGATTTACAATAGCAACTAATGATGAGTAATGTTTGCGTTGAGAGAAAGAGAGAAAGAGTGAGTGAAATGTAATGTTTTCAGCGTCTTGCTGTGAGTCGCGGGAAATAGCTGCGACATAAGCGTCAGTCATTCTCGAGCTAATTATGAAAAATTGTGTTTTCATTGCACGTCTCCACCCTCTCCCCACTGTACACACGCACGCAGCCACATACATAAGCATGTACCCACGCACGCACGCACGCACGCACGCACGCACGCAGGCTCCTCTCTAATGACCGGGCTGTTTAAGTGCATGCAAAATTCGTTTCTATTGGCTAAAAGCTCCGGGATTTTCACGGTGAACGTTTTAAGTGGGCTGGGCCGAGTGGTTTGTCAATCATCAAGTGTCGGTTGACGGGGAGCAATGTTATTGAAATTGTTTTTGAAGCACGTGATTGGATTGCTATGAGCTTTATAAAGTGGATCATTTATCATCACGTGTCAGCTAAAGTGCACGCGTCTAGTAGGGGGGGGGGGGCTTGATCAGTAAATTTTCGCCTGCATGCATACAGGTGTCAAGTTGTACGATGCATTGCCAGTATAATCAACCTAGTGTCCCCCGACCGAGCAGTCAACGAAGTTACTGTTAGGTGGAGACAACGGTTCCTGCAATTTTTTGGCCTAGTGCACGTGACGTTGCCTCTAATATATTGCTATTGGATCCCACCTTGGTGTAGCCCTCAATGAGAGATCTCAGCATATGCTTTCTTGCGTGTAACCACCCTAACTGTGATGCCATGAATGCTGGCTGTAACCATGCCAACTGTAACTGCGGCTTACCTGATCCGTAGCCTGGGCCCTCAGCCCTCTCAACGCTGCTCACCGACATTGATCCGACAAAAGATACTATTACAAAGTCAATTACATTTAAATAGCGCAGATGATATGCTAATGGGATTTGTCTCGTAAGTAATTATGTTTTTGACATTCCATGCTAAAAGCTGGTTGCGCGCACTATGGCTTCTGCTCAGAGTTCTAAACTTTTATCAGTGTCATTCTCTAGTGGCATTGAGAACGGGTCATGTTTTATTTACGGCAGATATACGTGTCCGCGCGCTGCCGACATTGGTGCTTGGTCTGCTGAGAGGCAGTTACAACGCTGTTGGCACGAGTGCGCGTTCTCTCTTTCGCCATGCAGCACTTCCCATGGGATGCTGTGAATCCTAATCCACTTGCTCCTATGGTTAGGGGAGGTCGTCGTTTCAGTAGCTCTCACTTATAGTACTCTTAGGCCATGGTCCGGCCATAATGAGTGAAGTGAATCCAAGAGAGGTCGGGCATTCCACCGTCTTATCCGTTTCTTCGCTTAACTTAAATGTTAGGTATATCTGTTGGTGAACTCCGTAAGTACAAGCCGTATATTTGTCTTACAGGATCACACGCTAGTGGGCGGTCCCAATGCCCCCGTGGAGCAGGACATACAGCTCAGTGGCCTGGGCATCATGCCAGAGCACTGCATCGTTGACATCGTTGATGGAGATGTCTTCATGTCACCACTGGAGGGCGCTAGGTGAGTCACTCGTCTATATATTGCCGTCACTGATCTACAATAACTGGATAATGCATTGTCCCATCACCGCAGTGCAAACAAGCAGTGTCACCTCGCCACCATGTTGGTTGATCAGCAATCGAGTAAGCGCTTGTTAACTCCACATTGTTAATAAATGCTGGGAACTCGACTTCTGTACAAATACACACTGACCAATATAACAGCCAAATGACATCAGGATTCACACAATTCCCCCGATACTCGCTTCAGTTGTTCTGTATGGGTCAGCGGTCGTTGCACGGGGAAGGAAGGGCCCACTGCTTTGGCTGGTTGTGGCGAGATGCATGGAAATCCATATCTGCTTGCCACTTACTATTCTTAGTGCGTGTTGGCAACAGCCTCTCAGAATCTATAGCTGTGTATTTGAGAGCTTTTAATTACCACGCTTAATACCATGTGTTTCCTTTATGTCGGTGGGCGACAATGCTTAGAACTGCGTTTAAAAGCGTTTTTCGAGCGATTTAGCTGAGAACGCGGACAAATAAGTTATCGTGACATTTACGAGGCATTTCTTCGTATAGTTGCGTTTATCAGCGGTCTTCGCATTGCGACAGCTAAGTGATTTTTTACACTCGTTGTTCCGTAATGGCGGCTGTTGTGCACAGCCGGCGTCGCTGCGTCTTATCACCTGCTGTGTGTATAGCGATTTATCACAATTACTCATGTTATAATATACGTGTACACTCAGTGGTACGTTATACGAGAATTTGAATAGCGTGTAGATGGGGGTTGTACATTGACTTTATTTGTTACCCACGCTGGTTGTGGAATCTTGTAAACGTAACGAACATGCGACTGAAGGAGATGCGTGTTGTGCATAAGTGTAAGTGTAATTGAACCAGTTAGACTTGATACTGTCCCGCAGATCTTAACTGAATTAATGGCAATCTTGTCTGATTAAGTCCTTATCATGGATGCTTCTATCGCGTGCGTGGGAAGGCCCTAAACCCACACGCAGACGTCGCACACATACTACAGGAGCAGTCGTTCCGTACTAACTCGGCAGCGGGATAATTGTGTTAGAAGAGTATTGTGTTAGCGGAATTAAGTGCTCGTGAAGAGAGGACCTTTAGATTGTATGCTTTTGAAATGAGGCGTTTCGTCACCCCTGAACACACCGCGGCAGTTCGAATCTAAAATTTTGCTATCACTACAGTGCCTCCGGTCACGTGACAGATCGAGCTAATGTCGGCGGAAATTGCATTGTCGCATGATTTACACCGAAATATATTCCGTAATAAATGTCGCATTATCAGAGTTTGTGCTATGGAGTGGCGAGCGTAATTTCAATTGCTGCAGGGGAAATGAAGTACGTTGCAGGCATCTGCTAGCTCCCTGCTGCTAGCTGTCTGCTGTTAGCTCCCTGCTGCTAGCTCCCTGCTGCTAGCTGTCTGCTGCTAGCTGTCTGCTGCTAGCTGCCTGCTGCTAGCTCCCTGCTGCTAGCTGTCTGCTGCTAGCTCCTGCTGCTAGCTGTCTGCTGCTAGCTCCTGCTGCTAGCTGTCTGCTACTAGCTGTCTGCTGCTAGCTGTCTGCTGCTAGCTCCCTGCTGCTAGCTGTCTGCTGCTAGCTGTCTGCTGCTAGCTGTCTGCTGCTAGCTGTCTGCTGCTAGCTGTCTGCTGCTAGCTCCCTGCTGCTAGCTGTCTGGTCTGGCTGCTATCTCCCGCTGCTGCAGCTGCCTGAGCTAACCTTAGCTGTCTGGCTGCAGCTGTCTGCTGCTAGCTGCTGCCTGCTATCTCCCTGCTGCTACTCCCTGCACTAAGCTGTCTGCTCTAGCTGGTCTGCTGCTAAGTGTGTCAGATGCTGCTAAAGCTTTCTATGCTGCTAGCTCCCCGCTGCTAGACTCACCTGCTGCTAAAGCTTCTGAGCTGCTGAGCTGTCTCTGCTAATTCTGACACCCGTGCCTGCTAAAGTACCCCTGCTACTAGAGCTGTCTGCCTGCTAGCTGTCTGCCTGCTAAGCTCCCTTGCTGCTAATCTCCCTGCTGCTAGCTGTCTGCTGGCTGGAAGCCTGTTTTGCCCTTGCTAGCTGCCCATGCTCTCCAAGGCTGTACGCTGCTGAAGCTGTTTGCTGGCTCAGCTACCTGCTGCTAAGCTGGTCTGCCTGCGCTAGTTCCTGCTGTCTAGCCTGTCATGGCTACCAGGCTGTCTGCCTGTTAAGCTCCTGCCTGCTAAACGCTGTCTGCTGCTATCTCGCCCGGCTAAGCTGTCCTGCTGTTAGCTCCCCTGCTGCTAGCCTCTCTGCTATGCCTCCCTGCTGCTAATGCTTGTCTGCTGCAGCTCCCTGGCTGCTTACTGTCCTGCTGGCTCGCTGTCTGCTGCTTTAGCTCCCTGCTGCTAAACTGATGGTCTGCTAACTGTGCTGGCCTAATGCTGCTGCCTAGCTGGTCTGCTGGCGACGCTCTTGCTGCTACTCCTGCCTGCAAGCTGTCTGCCATGCTAGCGTTTCTGGCTAGGCTCCCCCTGCCTGCTAATCTGCTGCTGGCTAGCCTCCCTGCTGCTAGCTGTCTGCTGTTATGCTCCTTGTTGTTTATCTCCTGCTGCCTAACGCCTGTCGTGCTGCTAGCTGTCTGCTGCTAGTTGGTCTGCTTGCTGAAGCTGTCTAGCTACTAAGCGTCTTGCTGCTAAGACTAGCAACTACAACTCCGCTGCTAGGCTCGTCTCGCGCATAAGGCGTTTGCATGCTGCTGTCTGCGCTAAAATCTCCTGCTGGGCTAGCTGTCTGGCTAACCTAGTGCTGTCTGCTGCTAGCCTGTCTGCCTGGCTACTGTCTGCTGCTAGCTGCTCTGCTAAGCCTGTCTGCTACCTAGCTGTCTGTGTCTAAGCTGTCTGCTGGCCAGCTGTCGATGCTACTTAAAGCTGTCTGGGCTACTAGCTGTCTGCTGCTAGCTGTCTGCTGGCTAGCTGTCTGCTGCTAAGCTCGTCTGGCCTGCCATCGAGCTGTCTGGCACTAGCTGTCGCTGCCTGCTGTCTGGCTGCTCGACTGGCTGCTGTAAGCTGTTTGCTTGCTAAGCACCTGCTGCTAGCTGTCTGCTGTCTAGCTCGCGCGCTAGCTGTCTGCTGCGTACTGGTTGCTGCTACTGTCTGACTGGCTAGCTGTCTGCTGCTATCGCGCCTGCGCTAAGCTGTCTGCTACTAGCTGTCCTGCTGCTAGCTGTCTGGCTGGCTAACTGACTGCTTCGCTAGCGCCCTGCTGCTAGCTGTCTAGCTGCCTAAGCTGTCGTGCTACTAGCTGTCCTGCTGCTAAACAAGTTGTCTGCTGCTTTAAGCTGTCCTGCTGGCTAGACGTGTCTGCTGGCTAAAAGCTTGTCTGCTACTCAGCGTGCTGGCTGGCTAGCTGTCTGCCTAGGCCGTAGCTGTCTGCTGCTAGCTTTCTGCTAACTAGGCTGTTTCTGCCTGGCTAGCTGTCTGGCTGCTAGCTGTCTGCCTGCCTTAAACGCTCGTCTAGCCTCTAAAGCTGTCTGCTAACTAGCTGTCTGCTACCTAAAGCTAGTCTGCTGGGCTAGCTGTCTGCTAAAAACTAGCTGTGCTGCCTCTACTGCTGGCTGCTAGCTGTTCGCTCGCTCAGCGTCTGCTGCTAGCTGTCTGCCTACTAGAGCTCGTCTGCTGCTAGCGTGTCTGCTACTACGCTTGTCTGCTCTAGCTGTCTGCTACTAAGCTGTGCTGGCTTACCCTAAGCTCGTCTGCTGCTAGTTGTCCTGCTATGCTGGAGTCTGGTCACTGCTTGCTAAGCCTGCTGCCTACTAAAGCCTGTCTGCTGCTAGCTGTATCCCTGCTACCTAGCTGCGTGCGTGATAGCTGTCTGGCTGCTAAGCTGTCTGCTGGCTAGCGTGTCTGCTGCTAGCTGTCTGCTATAGCTGTCTGCTGACTCTGTGCTGCTGCTATCGTGTCTGCCCTACTTAGCTGGTTCCTGCCTGCTAGCTGTTCTGCTGCTAGCTGTCTGTGCTAGCTGTCCCTGCTGCTAGCCTGTCTGCGTCGTAGCTGTCTGCTATAGCTGTCTCTGGCTAGGCTGTCCTGCTAGACTAGCTGTCTGCTGGCTAGCTGTCCCCTGCTGCCTAGCTGATCTGCTACTCGGCTTGTCTCTGCAGCCTTCTGCTCGCTAGCTGTCCTGCTGCCTAGCTGTCTGCTGCTAGCTCCGCTGCACTAGTCCTTGCTGCAGAGCTGTGCTGCTAAGCTGTCTGCTAGCTAGCTGTCTGCTGCTAAAAGGTCTGCCTGCTAAAGCTGCGTGCTGCCCAGCTGTTGCTCGCTACTGTCCTGCTGCTAAGGCTTTCTGCTGCTAGCTCCCTGCGCTACTGTCTGCTGCTAGCCTGTATGCGAGGCTGTCTGCTGATACGCTCCCGCCTGCTGAGCGTAAGCTCATGTGCTAACTACTGACTACCTAGCCCTAAACTGCACTGCCTACTAGCTCAAGTGTGCGAGCACCTGACTCCTAGCTACTCACTGCTAGCTAGTCCCTGCTAATTACTCATTGCTAGCTAGTCACTGCCAGCTACTCACTGCTGGATACTCACTGCTGGCTTCATTCTGTTAGCTACTCACTGTAGCTAACTCACTGCTCAGCCTTTTCTTCTGTTAGCCCTACTGCACTGCTAGCTACATCGACTGCGCCTAGCCATTTCTCGTTACGCTACTCACTGCTACGAGCTAAGCTCACCTCGCTCCCGCTACTTACCTGGCTAGATAACCACTGCTAGCTTTCTTCTGTTTAAGCTATGTTCACTGCTGCTACTCACTGCTGGCTTACTCAACTGCTACCTAACTCCGCTGGCTGGCTACTCACTGCTCCTACTCACTGCCTAGATACTCCACTGGCTACTACCTCAACCGCTAGCTTTCTCTCGTAGCCCACTACCTCACTGCACCCTACTCACCTGCAGCCCTACTTAATGGCTATCTACTACCTGCTGCGCTAACTCCACTGCTTAGATACTCACTGCACTTAGCTTCACCCCTGCTAGCTACTCA